GTTTTTGTGTTCCTTACATAATAGTCGCACCCTATATTGGGGTAACAAAAGTGGTATCTTTGTGTTCCTTGCATAATAGTTGTACCCTGTGTTGGGGTAGCAACATTGGTATCTTTGTGTTCCTTGCATAATAGTCACACCCTGTGTTGGGGTAGCAAAATTGGTATCTTTGTTTTCATCGCATAATAGTTGCACCCTGTGTTGGGGTAACAAAAGTGGTATCTTTGTGTTCCTTGCATAATAGTTGCACCCTGTGCAGGGGTAGCAAAATTGGTATCATTGTGTTCCTTGCATAATAGTCACACCCTGTGTTGAGGTAGCAAAATTGGTATCTTTGTGTTCCTTGCATAATAGTCACACCTTATGTTGAGGTAGTAAAACTGGTATCTTTGTGTTCCTTGCATAATAGTTGCACCCTGTCTTGCGGTAGCAAAATTGGTATCGTTGTGTTCCTTGCATAATAGTCACACCCTGTGTTGGGGTAGCAAAAGTGGTATCTTTGTGTTCATCGCATAATAGTTGCACCCCGTTTTGGTGGTAGCAAAAGCAGGGTAGCAAAAGTGATATCTTTGTGTTCATTGCCTAATAGTCACACCCTATGTTGGTTTAGCAAAATTGGTATTTTCGTGTTCCTTGCATAACAGCTGTACCCTATGTTGGGGTAGCAAAAGTGATTTTTTTTTGTGTTCATCACATAATAGTCTCACCCTATTTTGCGGGGAAGCAAAAGTGTTATCTTTGTGTTTGGGCTGATTCTCCCTCTCTCCCTTCTTTCCATCCATCCTTTTGTCTCCAATGGAAAGGCAGTTTAAAACCTATGAAACTGAGGTCCCTGGTGCTCCACTCTTCTCTCCTTTCTCCTTCCTCTTAAGGTCTTTGGAGGAAGAAGGGAAGATCTGGGTTCCAGAGACCTCCAGTCCAGGTTTTTTAAGCCGCCTTCACATCTTGGAGGAAGAAAAAAGGAGAGAAGAGTGGAGCCCCAGATTTTTTTCCTCATGTAATAGTCGCACCCTGTTTTTTGATGGAGAAAAGGAGGAAAAGTGTGACAATTATGCGATGAAATATACGATATTTACTTCATACCTATTGTGGTGTTTCTCTTAGGAATTCTCAGGGGTATAATTAAACCTTCCAGGAGTAACTCAATGTCATTGCCATCAGAGGAGATTGCCCCACTTCCTGCCCCACTGAGATTATCTTTCTCCTTCAGGGAAGGAATGCCTCGGAGCAGGTGAAGATGCTGCAGCGGGTGGAGAACTACAACCGGAGCCTTCCACCCTCTGAGCGCGTGCAGACGTCCGTCGAGGTGGAGAAGCCCCGGCCTGAACTCTACCAGCTCCTCAGCCACGGAGACGTGGTAATGGGCCTCAGCAGGTTGGAGGGGGTCCCAGCTGGCCAGGAAAGGGGGCTCCTTCTGCCTCAAAGGGCAGGAAGAACCCTCATCTTGATTCTATGTAGGGTTTAGTTGGAGGTGCATCCCAGTAGGGTATTTATTATTTTGGTCTTAAGAATAACAACAACAACAACAACAACAACAACAACAATGGCTGTGGCTCACAAATGGAACTCTGAAAAAGGAGACAAAGGAGGGCCTGATTCTGG